AACTGATTTCAGAAGTGCTCCTACAGATGCCTGGCAGTAACACGTCATGCTCCTGAAATGCTCGTAGGTGGGTTGTTTGCCCTTGTGAACCATTTTAAAGTCAGCTAGCATTCCTATTAAAGTATTAATGCTAGCACCTGTCTTTACTAGTATTAAAGCACTAACAGCACCACGCACCATGCAGAATTTCTAATTCCTACAAATAAAGTAAACTTCATTTGAATATCCCTTTAGCAATCAATAACATTAAAAAGTAAGGCCTGAGGTTGCCATTAAAACTGCACAGTGTTGGTTATTTCCATCACGCACCCAAGTTTTTCCATGGAAGGGGCACCATAAGGATTCTGTTCTCCAGTGCCAAATATCTTGTAGGTCAGCAGTGGGGCTGAGAGATCTTGCCTCTTTCCCATCCCACAGCCACACTTGACCACAGCGGCAATTGTTCCATCTGCACTTGTGCATTTTATATACAGTGGTACCTTGGGTTACAAACGCTTTGGGTTTCAAACACTTCGTTTTACAAACTCTGCTAACCCGGAAGTAGTACCTTGGGTTGAGAACTTTGCCCCAGGATGAGAACGGAAATCGTGCGCTGGTGGCATGGCAGCAGCGGGAGGCCCCATTAGCGAAAGCGTGCCTCAGGTTAAGAACGGTTTTGGGTTAAGAACGGACTTCCAGAATGAGATAAGTTTGTAACCCGAGGTACCACCGTATGTAGATATATATTTGCAAAGTCCTATATGAATTTGCTACAGGAGCCTATGTAAAGCCATGATTCACTCTGACTCCTCAGGCACTCTGACTCCAAGAAGGCTGTTTATAAGCTCCCATAAATGAGTATAAATAACTGAATGCAATACAATGGTTCATTAAAATAAAAAAATACATACCTTCTGTAAGCATGGTTGGGCCATCTAACAAAATGAGCCTCTGGGCCACTCCAACAATGTTTGGCAGTAAGAGATCTTGAAGTTCGCCAAGGTTACTTGTGTCCAGGGCAGTATACACGAAGCTTCCGTCAGTAGCAATTTGCTGAAGCTCTACATTGTCAGCATTCTCGACCCCAATGCTAAATGAAAATATACTCGCTTTCTTTATGGCCAAAATCCCCTCTCTAAGGTCATCGCTAGACTCACTGCCGCTTATCAGCACTAAGATCTGGGGGACACCCTCCTCTATCCTGCTGCCTCCTGACCGGGTGAAGTGGTTTTGCACCACATGCTCAAGAGCTTCCCCGATATTCGCTTCCTCGCCACCCGGCAGGCTAAGGGCCTTCACTGCATTTAAAATGTCAGCTTTTTGGTTGTAGCTGTTCAAGGAGAATGCAGTTCTGGGTTGATCACTATACGTCACTACCCCAATGCGTATGTGCTCTTCTCCAACTGAGAGTTTTTCAATAAAATTTGCAAGGAAATCACGAATGGCTGCGATAGCGACAGTGCCGATGTTGTTTGATCCGTCAATAAGGAAAATAATGTCAGCAGATTCTTGTGCTTAAAAAAAAGAGAGAGAAATGCAACAGGTGAAAGCATTAAACAAAGTGATTCCATGCAAGTTGTTCTGACATGTTTCTTCGGAAACCAGCAAGAAACACGAATATGGAGGAACAAAACACAAGGTGGCCAAGATCAAATTGCCTGCTAGTTCTGCATTCTGATTGAATATGAATGACCAGATCATATCTATTAATTGCATAAGAACATTGTACCTGAAAGAATTCTCACATAGGTTTACTTGAGGGTTGGGGAGTGACATCTTTTCATTGTATAGTTTATTACGTTTTGCATTTGTGGGCAGATCACTCCCACCTCTTTGTGCACACCGATACATGAGGCTGTGCTATACAACATCACCTTCATGCTTACGGCATGTGGCCTTTATAGTCGCTATCTTCTGTGACCTGGCCCATGCACAACACCTTCTCAGGCTGTGCTTTCAGGCACATTTGGCCAACAAATAACCAGGGAGATGAGAGAGCAAGGAAGTCCCCTTTTGTAGGCAGAAATCCTTGCAATAAGAGGGAAAACTTTACAGGCTACAAACCTTAAAGTACAAGTAAAATGGTTAAAATGTTAATCTAATGATAAATTATAAAACAACTTTAGAGCTTCTTAGAGAAATCCTGGAAAGAAGGGAATTGTATATATATAAAAAATATGTTCAAATGCGTTTAACAATTCCAATCAAGAATTGACCAGGATATAAGGCAATGTTTTCAAAGGTGAAATAAGTATCACAGTATATTGACCATATATTTGTTCTTTATATTTAAGGTATGTCTACATGTTTACTAATGATATAACACTAAAATTATTTATTCATTTTATTTATTTATATCCCACCTTTTTCTCTAAGGAGTAGAAAGAAAACCTATATAAATATGCTTGTAGACATGATTTATAGGAATATTGTTCAAAATTGCATTTCTAATGAAGACATTTCTGCTTTTATTCTTCATGTACCATATGACTACTGGATATTCAATCAAGTAATGCAGAATCATGTTAAAACAAGGTGATGAAGTCAGTCATAACACAATTATCCAACCTTATATATGAGAATTCTTCCTGAATGATCAGCTGTTTTGGGATATAAGAAATGTATAATCACGTGGAACATCTCAATGGGAGGTAAGCTGGCACTGGATGCGCTTATCACAGATTAATTACCATAGTCATTAGTCAGGTGAAGTCATCCATGGCTTGCTATAATCTGCACTGTCCAAAACTAATCTAAGCGTTTGGGAATCTGACCAAAATCACTGTGTATTAACAAATGACCCTTAACACATCAGTCTCCATATGTGGAGTTTTCTTGTAAAACTGTTGATCTGGAACAGCGCCTGCTCTGGTTCTTTTATCCACAAGCAGCTGAATGTGGATCATGTTTAGCTTCACACAACAGACAAGCGTCCTCTGCTCACAGCAAAATTTAGTGCATCACTATAAAATGGCCAAAACTGGGGCTGAACTGATGACACAAGAATACTACAGTATTTCATGAATATTTAAATTCATCAAGATGATTAGAGGAAAAGCCACCAAACTCTGGTATTACATTATCTTTAAAGTATATTTAGATCAAATTTGGCCAGTGTTTGCTCTTTTATAGTGACTATCTCACAGTTTATGCTACCAGTGGAGAGACCGATGGAATCAGACCACTGAGATTTTGGCCCAAAACTTTAAGCAAGTCACGATAGCTGATCCTGAACAACCTCACTTGTAACTTGATCTTCCATAACTCTAGTCCTCAGCCTCCTGAGGAAGGAACAGGATACATCTGTGATGAATAAATATACTGAACATTCTGGAATGCTTCAAGTTTTCTGTTTTGCCATTTTAACTATCACACTCTTTGTTGGCCACAAAAACCTAGTGTGCTGGTATTTACTACATGACCTGAAGGTCCCATAAACTGAAATACTGCTGATCTCAAAGAAATAGGGAGGAAGTATACATAACAGCTGGATAATTTGTCACCACTGAAATACCATTATACTGAAGTACACAATGAAGGATTAGGCTGGTGGTGGAGGGCAAATTAAAGCATGCTTTGTTACACAACTAAGCAAAGGATTGTTGGCTTAGAAAGGAAGCAGTGACTTAGTCATTAACCATGATGCAGTAAAATATGTAACAGGACAATGACAAAAGTGAACTCTGAACTGGTCAAATAATTCATTTCCAGTATGACCAAAATCTGTCCTTTAATACAACTTTGGGAACATATCATCATGACATTTAATATGTGGAGGCTGTAAAAAGCACCTGTTGGGTTTAACATTCTATCTCAGGTAAAAAAGTATTTGTAATTGATTAAATATCATGTTATGCTTTGATATATATAAGCTTATTAAGCCAATTATATGTCCATTGCTAGAAAAAGAAAATTACTTTTGGATGCTGGCAACTATAGTAATATTTTTGAATAAAACACCCTGTACTGTATATAGTTATATGCATTCTGTTTATATGCATATATGCATAACTGGAATAACCCTTGTGCGCAGTTACCTTTAAGCACTGTTTAACTCATATACCATTTGCAATATATATTTCACAAGCCAGCTCTCCACGCTGGGCTCTGCCAGACCATCAACTCATATATACCACTGCATAAAGATGAACCAAGAATCTCATGGTGATGGGAGGGCTAAATCAGAGCTTCTGCTCAGATAAGAGGATCCCACCATATTGGTTCCAATACAGATTAAACTCTGGCAGAAGGCTCTCAAAGAGACCCAGAGATGAATGTGTACTTTCCTAAACTGTTAGAGGTAAAGGGAAGATCCTACAATATGTGTTTCACATCTCTCTGCCTCCTGCATGCTCAAGCTCTCTAAAGGACGTTATGAAGATGTCTTGCCTTGAATTGACCTTTTTTGCATGGCGATTCTTTACAGCAAGATCTGGGAATCAATTTCAATTGCTTTAAAGCCAGTGATGGAAGTCCTTCTTGGCAACAAAGGTTACCATAGGTTTCCGATATGCTTTTTAAAATTTTACTTAAAAACATTAAAATTCATTCTGATATCTAAATGGCCAGCTCATCAGTGACCTCAATGAATCTGAATTTTGCCCCATAAGATTTGCAGAAAAATGAGAGAAACATCTGTTTGCCTGTGTATCATGCAGCAATGCAATAGTGGATGATGGAGCACATAATGGAGTTAATCAGACAGGACAAGATGAGTGTTATAACCTGCATATTGCTGTCAACCTGCAACATTCAAAACATCCATTTCTCCTTTCATGCATCCCAGGGTATAAAAACAAAGGTCTGAGAAGTCCACAATGCGAGAGAATCGCTCTATCAGATTAAACTCAATAGTTTTTCACATTCAGGATTCCCTTTAAAAAATCCTTTTGCTCCCATTTCCTTCCATTTAATGAGGAACAGGAAGATATGAAGTAAGAGGAAATCTTCCACTTTGCCTGACTTCCATTTCTCTCTCTTTCATCGTAGGAGTTTACTTGATTAGACTTGCCAGGTGTGCTTTTCTTCCATCCCTTTTATACGGGCCCCTCCCCTACCTCTAGTAGTGAGCAGTAGGGGAGGGGTCCTACAAAAGGGATGGGAGAAAAGCACATGGGGAGGGGCAGAGGTAGACGGCAGCTGCCACAGCACCTGGAAAGATTAACAGGTAAAGGGGAATCTCCAGGTGGCCATCAAGGAAACTGGGCTTGACCAGCGACAAGCTCCCACTGCCATGGCCAAGGCCCACTTCCTGTGTAAACTATTGCAAATACGAAAACCACAAGGAGGCTCTTTGCCCCGCATTTCAAGCCCGTATATTACCTGAGAACAGGAAGGAGGCCACCTGATCTTGGGAAAGTCCTTGGGCACATGGATACTTTTTTCACATAAAGTGTAGCTCTAGGAAGGCACATCAGTGGAGCATAGCTGTCAACTTTTCCCTTTTCTTGTGAGGAATCCTATTCAGAATAAGGGAATTTCCCTTAAAAAAGGGAAATGTTGACAGCTATGGAGTGAGGGGAGCTTAAGTTTCCCAAGCAATATTCATTTAGTTCTAGTTCTGTATCTGCAGTAAATGTAAACTAAGGTGTGCTGATAGAGTCTTGACAGATCCTCATTCACTGTGATTCAGGCGTTCTTGAACACACCATTATCTCGGCTGCAGCAGCCTCCCTCAGAAAATGTGGTTACGATAACAATCTTCTATGTCACATTTAAATGTACTTTATTAATGACCACAGGATAAGGAAGTACTTTGGACTTCATTTGTATGTGATTCTGCTTTAGAGCCTGTAGCAAAAAATATGCCAAATTGAGCAGCCTTTGTTTTTAACCCCTCAGATGTGCAACTTAGGGCCTTTCCAGACAATTCTGGCTTTTGTTACTCAGCAGCTGAAAAGGAGAGGGACCAGGCATCTTGCGCTAACACAGCCCCCCAGTGTGAGGAGAATTTTTCCAGCACTCCCTTGAGTTACTTATCACTTGCTGTAGTGAGATAAGCAACATTCCACCCATCTACATGACACTCTGTAAAATTTTAAAATACTTTATATATCTCATAATTGTATACATTTATTATAGGTTAGGCACTCCCTGACCATAGCACTCAAGCACGGAATCCCTCGCGCAGGGCGCATGCAGGGAGATCTGCAGCAGAACTTCACTATTTTGTTATTTCTTCCTCCCATCTTTTTAATTTTTAATTTGATTCCTGTGGTTACTGTTGCCGGGAAAGGCCCTTGGTCCACACATCCAAATGTCTAAAATGATGGGAAGAGCACCAATTGCAACACCTCCCTTGAGTACAAGTATTGCAATATCACAGCAGAACAGCGTTACCTGTGATGTCTTTAATCACTCCTTTTGCTCCAGCCATTTCTGGAGTCATAGATGAGCGAATACTTGCAACTAAGTCTCCCACAATGCCGTGGAGAGCAGTAAAGTTCGCTAGGTTGAACAAGTGCATATCAAGGGGTTCGCTTGCTATTTCCTTTAATTCCCCTTCAACTGCGTCCTGCACTCCAATGGCATACATGTTTACATCGGCAGATTTAAGAACGGATGACGGCAGAGCCACATCATCTTGGGATCGTCCATCCGTTAACACTATAATAACCTGGGGGGCGCCATCGCTCACCCTGCTTCCAGCAGCTTTAGAAAGATGGTTCCGAATTAGAAACTCTAATCCTTCTCCGGTCTTGGTTCCTCCCCCCATATAAGGCATGTGTGAAATATGGGAGAGGACATCTTGTACAGTATGGTATGTGTTTAACTGGAATTCTGTGTGTGGGTTTCCGCTGAACTGGACCAGACCAAACCGAAAATCGTTTCCACCCACATCTAATTGTTTTACAACATCATACAGAAACTCCCGAACAAGTTGGAAATGCTCCTTTCCAATGCTCCAAGAAGAATCCACTAGAAATATTATATCAGCAGCAGCACCGATTTTCACATCTTTAAAAAAAAAACATGGATTTATGATTTTCTAGAGGCCACAGGCCAGGAGAGGGAAGTCTTGTTCTATAGTCATATACCCCACTTGGCATAATTGGCAGGAGCACAGACCTTATGAACCCATAAGCCCAACAAATTGGGGCAGGAGGAAGGGGGGGAAAGCTCATTCCAACAGATCAGCTTGCTCTTGTTGAATATATGGTATGCTGAATATATAATTTTATTCCTCGTAAACTTATGGCTGTTTCTTGCTACAGAAACTTCTTCCAAAGGAATATTCTCTAGATATGGGATTCCCTTACCTAAGCAGGATGAGCAAACACCCCAATGCGTTTATGTGTCATCCTTTCCCAATGATTATAAGTCATACTCAAAACCTGTTGATCCAATGGTAGCAGCTCCTGAATAGGTCATTGAAGAATACAGTGGCAGTTTGACTGTTGATTTTGTTGGCCGCATTTGTGGGAATTGAAGTTATTCCACTTGCCTTATTGTAACACTGGCTGAATCAGCAAATAACTAGAGCTATAGAAAAGTCCACCCCATATGCTACGTTAGCACAATGCTGAAAATTATCACACTACACTAGTAATGGGTAGATTTTTTTGTACTGATTTAAAATGTCAGTCCTTGAAATTATTTGCATGCTTCTTACAGAAAAAAATGAAACATTTGAACCATTTTCCTGAGTTTATCTGAAGACTTAGGAAGTGCCTTGCGAACCTGCTACCAGTTTTTTAAAAAACCAAAGACCCAAAGACCTCCTTCTTCCCTTTACATGCCTATGTAGAGACAGTGGGAACAGGAGCTGTGTTTTCCTCCCACACAGCCTCTGCTTCCATCCCCAGGTTGCTTAGGCTGCAAGAATCCTTGGGAGAACTACCTCTACCACAATCACCTGGGAATTCTGCCTTGGCATTTGACTAATCAGTAGGGCAGAGGGAGGAAATGAGGGGGAAAGCGGCTGCCATCCGCCGCCTGACAAGTAAGCAATGACAAGCAAGTAATGGCAGAAAACAAATCACTGGAGAAGGGTGGGGTGGGGGTCACAACACTGGTTTCCTGGCAACAGGATTCCTGCTGCTTGCCAAGGGAGGGAGAAGGACAGTGGCTGGGAGGTCAGCGCAGGGTGGGTCCACCACTGGAGTCCATTTGCCAGTGCACCCAACCTGTGCCAACCTCTGCACTTTCCCTCCCACCTCCTCCAAGTAAGCAGCAGTGACCCTGCTGCCAGAAAGCTAGCATTGTGCCTCTCCACCCCCTGCCCACCCAGGGAAAGCCACTTCTGCATAATGGGAAGCAGGGATAGTGCCTGGTGGACTGGGGTCTGGCACAGAGGGCTTTGGCGGATAGCAAAGGCTGGCAGCGTCAGGGAAATGTGGACATTATTTTCCAACTGGAATTTTGATCCAAGGCAGGAAAGAATTCTGGGGCTTTAAAAGCTCACTGGAATTGCATGCCAATAATTGGTAGGGGGGGGGAATGGTATAAAGACTTACTACAATCACCCCTGTGCAATAGCCCTCAGATATTCTGCAATACTACTTAGCACATTAGAACATTAAAAAAACTGGTCTCAGACTAATTTTTGATCACTTTTGAAAGGGGGTGGGAATAGTTTACTCTTTTGTATTGTAATAATGAGAATGAGGGTGGAAGGTGGAAGACTTCCATGGCCAACAGTATCCATATTTTTCCTGTGCTACGTATGTATACCAAGAGAGACACTGGCCATGTTTGGATGTAACTTTAAACCATAGTTTAACACAGTGAACCTTGGCAAGCCTCAAGATGACATGTTCCTCCTTCCCCTTCCATTTCAGATTAACCACAGCCAGTGAAAACAAAAGAAGTTCATAAACTATGGTTTGAAGTTGGCTTGTTTCTACCAACCATAGTTAAAATGAACTACAGTTTGTCATGGCAAGCGGTGACTAAACTAAAACAGAGACAAAATTTTCTGAGCTGGAGGAAGAGAGAGCTCACAAGCCTAAGGCTTGTTTTGAAAATTAAGCTTGGTATATCCAAATCAGCCTACTATTTCTACCAGTAAGCAAAGGTAAGGAAAAAAGAGGTTATACGGGGGCAATTACTTAATTCACAGAGATCTGTCTCCAGGCTCTGTCATGGGATCACTGCAATGAATGTGTTTATGGAAACGCAACAGAGTTTCAGGGATATGAAGCTGCAGTTGGTACAACTGATTTGAACAAATATTTGTTAGGGCCCAAAATACATGTCCTCAGTCTTTGCCAACTTCAAGACATCAAAAAGCAAGTTACCTAAAGATAATGGCAACTTACCAGCTCCTTGCTGCTGGGCATCAGCATTATGGTAGCCTGAGAGTAAAAGACAAAAGATGGTTGCTAAAGGCAAATGCCGGTGTTTCCTCATTTTCTTTTTTAGGTGGGTTGGCTAGTTTCTCAAAGCACCAGTTCTTAGATCTGAAAAGAAACAGAGATGCTGTCAGGAAAATTCCTACGGAACTTCAAATGGGAAATCTACATAACTCACTCATTCCATGAACCAAGCACACATACCATAATGATTTTGCGTTTGCTATCAAGAACTGTTTTCAATCATGCAACAAAAATTAAAAACTAGGCCATCAGTATTTACTTCTGGGCCACTCAGCCTACGATTGTTACTGGCACAAATAGATTCTGTCTTCTAGGATGAGAAAGTCATCGGCTGAGCCGCCTTCCTGCCCAGAGGTTCTTGGGAGGGAGCTACAGCACCTCAGAGCTCTGTTACCTCTCCAGCTTATAAAGTAAGATGCAAGGAAACCTCTCATGCCCTCCCTTCTCCCAGGTTCCTCTTCCTCTGAGCCTTGTGCTGATAAGAGGTGACATGGCTGAGCTCCAAAGACTGCAGCCCACTGATCATCATCCGGATTCATCCAGGCTATGCTGGCACGAGGTGTGTAATGGCAAGGTCTGAAAAAGGGTTGCGCTCCTGCAACAGCATTCTGTGCCTGAAGTTATCCCTGCCCCATGAAGATGGAGAAGCCTCATTCCAATTAGCCAAAAGTGTTTCAGCGTCTCAACTTCTCTGCCAATTTAACTCAGCACGTGCAACACAACATGAAAGACAAGGAAGTCTGAGCTCATTAACGACAAGCAACATGTTTCTCTAACAAAAATAAACAAT